GGTGTGTGTGTGTGTGTGTGTGTGTGTGTGTGTGTGTGTGTGTGTGTGTGTGTGTGTGTGTGTGTCTCTTTAGTACAGGAAGGGACATGTGGGGCATACTTTGCTCTCTCTGGTGAGGGAAGGGTGAATGCAAGACTGAGCTTGCTCACTCACTCATGAAAGAGGGCACTGAAGGGGCCACACAGGCCAAGCAAGCTTGCAGGACCTGGGTGAGATCCCATTGGTGGCACTGGGAGTAATCCCAACACCTTTTGTTAAACTGGACTGGGGTCAGTGCCATGAGGCTGCAGAACAGGGACTCTATACCCACCTCTTTCTCCATGGGCAGTATGCCCCCATTCTCCAGGAACTTAGAGAAGGTCTCCAGGTCTCTGGCACTCTTGTACTCAATCATCTGGCATAGGCGGGAAGGCAGGGCACATGACAGAGAAGAAACAGGAAATGTCAGTAATTGGATTACCCACAAATGTGCGGCAGGCAGGCTTCCTGCTCTGCTTCCCTCCTGCAGGACCTGCCTACACCCAGTACATCAGACCAGTCACCTGAGTGAGCATGGCTAGCACCAGCTGCACCCCAGGGCAGGACACCGTGCAGCAGGAAAGCCTGAGGGAGACTTCTTGGACAAGACCTGCTGGTGCTGCATATCCTGAAGCAGGGGGGGCTTATGGCTTTTCCAGAGCTCTGGGTGCCTAAGCCTGCAATCTTATCACTGAGGTGTTCTTGCCTCCTGGGGCACAGCCAGTCTTTGCTTGAATACCACAGAGTGCCTGGCTTTAGTGGACTCTTGTGGCCAGGAGTTCCACATTTTCTTTAATCTATGCTGAGTTTGTTCCCTTTCATCAAAGACCACTGATGTGCCCTTGTCCTGGTTACTGGGAGGCCAGGTCTCCTGCCCCATCCCTTAATTAAACGTTATTGTACTACATCCCCTCCCTTGCACATCTCTCCTTTGTGGTCACACATTCACTCTGTCCCCTTTCTACAGCTAAGAGTTTATGTAACTCCTGCTCATTCTCATCACCCTTCCCCACTTCCCCCATGCTGTAATGTTCTGTGGGGAATGGCATGACCCAACCCTGCACACAGCAGCCAGATGAAGGCCTTGCCTCACATGTAATTCATCATCAATATCCAGCACAACCCCAGCAGTGACCCAGTTCCTATATCCAAAGATAGCTTTTTTATGTTCCATCTGGGTGGACCAGTCCCTTCCCTTCCCACGTGGGCAGCCTCCGTGCTGTTCCATTCCAGCTCACACCTTCCTATCTGGCCCAGCAGGGAAGTAGTGCAGTGTTGGGTAGCCATGGATGGTGATGTTCTCAATCTCATTGGCTGTTGCATCCAGCTTGGCAATGATGATGTTCTCATAGTCCTTATATTTCTCACCCAGCTCCTCCCAGACAGGTGCCATTGCCTTGCAGTGTGCACACCAAGGAGCATCTGCAGGACAGAGAAGCAGTCATTCATTTCCTCTGCAGGAGTGAGTCTACAGGGGTGATGGGTGCTGGCCCTGGAAGTTGTGAGACATAGTTCCAGCATAGACCCAGGGACAGGATGAGGTAACAAAACCAGCAAAGCAGGAAAGCAAGTCTTATGTGGAGGAGCAGGGCAAGTGGGAGCCTTCACCCATCACTCAGACTGAAATGCTATGAACTTGGGAAAGTTCCAGTCATGCAGCAATGACTGCCTTCCACACAAATACCAGTGATTCCCAGGCATGGAGAAAAACATCCCCTGGGGCTTGCGAGCACTGAAACCTGGCAATGGGAATGCAGCACACAAGCTGCCACTATGGCCAGTACCATCACCATAATGTGAGGGACTGATATGCATGTAGAGGAGGGCAAATGACTTCAGAAAGAGAAGGTCTGGACTGGAGATCAACAAGGACCTCCTCATGTTGGCTCAGGCTGAAAGAATGCACCAGGAAAGGGGTGGGAGCCTTTCACATTTAGCCCTAGCCTAGAAACATCCTCAACAGGATTCTCCAACTTGCGGGGGTGGATGGAGCCTACTGAGCTCCCCACCTCCATTTCTAAGAAATAGCTTGTAAGAAGAACTCTTCCTGCTGGCTTTGGGCAATGAGTGCTACCCATGTGCTCACAGGGTCTTGGCCAGAGGGCAGCACTTGAGATGGGGGAGAAAGTCCACAGTATTGCACAGAGCCATACTCACAGAACTTCACAAATACGTTCTTGGTCTCATCAAAAGCCACCTTCTCAAAGTTTTTGCCCACAAGGACTTTAACTGGCTGCCTATCCCAGTCCTCAGGGATTTCCTTACTCATAAAATGAGGCTGTGGAAAGAGAGGGGAAAGCTAAAGCTGTGGGAGGAGGTGGAATGGTAGACCTTTACAACTAGGCACCACACAGTGTTGTATTGTTGCAAAATCAAGCACTCCAGGGGCAGGCGACACCCAAGGCCAGCCAGCTGCAGAACCTAGGCTCCAGTCCACACAGGCATGTGAAACATGCCCACAGTTTCCCTTCACCTCCCGTATTGTTATAGTCACCCTGAAAGTGCTAGAGGCCACGAAGTGCATGAATAAAAGAGAAGGCTGTGCAACATTTCTGAGAGAGCAAAATCCACCACCCTCTTCCCTGGAAGTGGCAGGACCATATCTGTACAGGCTGCAGACACAAGAGCAGTCTAGTCCAGAGGGCAAAAGCTGACAGCGATGGGGAGGATTCTGTAGCAGGCAACGCTGAAGCATCTGTTTTTTCAGATAGTGCTGCACATACCTGCTGGCCTAGGCTAAGGGGAGGCTAAGGAGAGGGCTGGTGCTTTATTGCTCTGGTATGAGAGTAGGACACCATCCTCCCACCAACAGCAGGGCACCCACTGGTGACACAGGGAGGATTGCACAAAGACCAAGGAGAAACTATGCTCTGCATGGAGTAAATGCACTTCCATTAGCACACAGCCTTGCTCCGCATCATATTGTCACTCTACCTCACTCCATTGGAAAACATGACCCTGCCGAGCCCCTGCAATCTCTGTTCTTTGTTTCTCTTCCTCCTCTCTAGTTTTCTGCCCCTTTCTCATGTTTGTGGGTCTCCTGCTACCTGGCCCTCCCTGTAGAGATTCCCAGTTCCCAGCAGTTTCCCAGCGTCCCCAGTTAAATTGAATGCATTTGCTTTGGTCCCATCACTAGGTTCAAGAGCTACTCCAATGACATTATTGGGGTTGGATGTCCTGCTTCCCACCTATAAAGTCAGGTTGTCTGCAGATGCAAAACAGCATCACACTGGTGTCCCCAGTCTGACCTTCAAGGGCCCCATCACATGCGAGGTCAGGAGGAACTTACTGATCTTTTTAAAAGTGAAAGAGTAGAAGACCCCTGGCACCCCACGGGGGATGCAGGGGCAACATGCTAGAGAAAGCCTTATGGTCACGCCATAGGCAGCAAAGTCTTAAGACAATGCTCTCATCATGCACCCCCAGTTCTCTGGGAGAGGCAGAATGATTCCCCTGCTGTTTCCTGGATGAGAGGCAGTAGTCCAGTCTCCTTTGCATGACTAGCAAAGATTCCACCAGGCAGGGATGTATCCTATATCCCCTCCCTTGCTTGGATTCCCCTTTGTAACCCAGAGTTAACAGTATCATAGTAACACACTATGTATAGGAACTGAGAAGTATTCAGAGAGCTAGGAAGGAGTACAGCCCTATCCTGCAATTAATACTGGCAGGATCCCAATAGCCAGATTGATTCCATCAGAAATCAGCTCAGACTGACAGGGTGAGCCCTTCTAGTCTAGGGATGCCATAAGGTTTTCAGCTCACAACCAGAGTTCCCAACCTGCACAATGTAGCTCTAGCAGTGCCATCACACAGAGCATTGGCAGGATGTCCCAGGCCCTGAGGTGGGACTGGGCCTCAAAAAACAAGTGCTATGCCCTACATTTGGCAGGTGGCTGCTCAGGCACTGCTGTAGGTAGGGAATGTGCATGTGCCCAACCTTGACTTTGCCATCAAGCACATCCTGGGTGAAGGAGCCCACAGCCTGAGCCGAGAAGTCCTCTGAAGCCATGCGGTACTTCCTGTTGGTCTCTATGTTGATGAAGCGCAGGGTGGGAGCATCATGGCTCTTCAGGCCAAAGAAGTGTAGCACATTGGCCCCATACCCATTGACATCAATGAGCACAAAGAGAACCTAGGATGACCAGATACAGCTGTGGGACAGCATTCCCCACACAGATCATGCAATCCACACCAACCCTCAGACAAAGAGCCCCCAATGTCTACACCCCACAGGACCTGTGTTAAGACTGAAAGTGCCCACAACCAAGGGGAATGGTTGTGGGGCTGAGAGCAACCAACTCTCTACAAGGCAAGCCTCCAGTGAGAGAACACTGGCTGTGCAGTTGGTGTCCCACAGCACTGCCTACTATGCTGCCCATCTGCCCTGGTGTGAAGTGAAACTGGTACCATCTGAGGCAAGGTGGGCAAGGCTGTGATGAAATCAGATGCTCTAGTAAGTGGAGTTTAGTCCCTACTCATAGCTTACTTGGCCCCTGAAAGCAGCTGCTGCTTCCCGGAAATTCCCCACCATCTGCAGCTGGGACTCCACAGTCTTGTTAATGAACAACAGCAGGTGGTTAAGGATTTTTGCTCCAAATATCTTAGATGAGGTCTGAGAAGAGAAGGAGTATTTTGTCAGCCAGTAAGGCAGTCACTATGGCAGCCACACATCACTCCAAGTCAGTTAGTGCAGCATAGGTCGCTGCACTCAGGCTCCAAGCACTCTGGGGAACATCTGCAGGAAAGGCCTGACAGCCAAGCCCTGCTGTGCTTGGGCATGGGAGAAGCAGTGCCCTTTCTACTGGAGTTTCACCCCACCCTGCTGTGTAGTAAGCAGTGCCCACAGCACCAGGTTTGCCCAGAGTCCTGCCTACCTATCCCCACCATACGCACATGCAGCCCTGCTCTACCGTGCCACAGCTGCCTTTGTCCATCCTCTGCACACCTTTGCCATGCAGGGAGTGGTACGCAGTGTGTCAGGACAACTCAGGCCCTGGCTGCCATCCTTCCCCATACACAGACACCCCTGCTGTGCTAGCCCTGCCCCTTAGTATCTGCATACAGATTTCTGGGTACAGCTGTCCCTGCTCTCCCTGCAACCTGGCAGGTGTCTCACTTGGCTAGTGAATTCCATCACCAGCTCCAGGCTTTGCACAACAATGAAGTGGGAAAGCTCCTCCTTGTCCAGCCTTTGCTCTGAGTCCAGTGGGAAATCTGTCCGCTTCTCATCAAACTGCAACACACCAAGGGCAGGTGCAGGGAAAAGTTGTTAATCTTACAATCAAATTCCAAAGCCAAAGTTAGTCAGATCCCCAACCCCCACCCCATCCCACCCCACCCCACCCCAGCAAGGCTTCTCCATAGGGAAACTGTCCTTTGGGCATTAGCTGCACCTATTACCCCAGACCCTTTCCCTCTGCATGGCCACTGGGTGATGCTTATGTCCTGGTTCTGAGTGCCACACAGCTGGTGCTAGAGCGCCAACTGAGCCAGGGTTAGGGCCAGTGAGAGGAAGCTGGAGGCACATCCCGTGTGATGTTTCCTCTACTTCAGTGTTTCCCAACATTTTCCAGCCCAAGGCACACTTACATTAGTAAAAATTTTCTGCAGCACACCTGTTACAACATTCCCCATCCTCATACCTACTGTAGCTCATTGTAGTTCATTGCCATGGCAAAATTCCATGGCACACCTGTTCATTTCTGATGGCACACTTTTGTGCTGAGGCACACTGATTGGGAAACACTGCTCTACATATCTCACCTTCTTGAAGAGGCAGACTGTGTCCTGGGTGATGCCATATTTCTGGAAAAGCTCCACTTTCTCGGTAATCCCAAAGGTGATGTCCACAATATCACTGGCAACTTCATAGAATACCTGCGCACCTTCACCCTGCAGTTCCTGAAGACCCCCACAGGCTGAGAGTGACTGCACTGGGGTTGGAAAAATCAGGCACCCTATAGCCCACATAGCACAGCTGAGGCTGGTGGTGGCTCCTTAGAAAAGCAGCCCTCCTCTAACATGGGTTGAAGCCCAGGAAGGTCCCAACATCCAGTGCACCCTATACACCACCCCTGATACCTGGGGCACCACATGCAGAGTAATAGGGATAAGGTCCAAGTAGTGGTGGTCTTGGCCCTTCAGTAAGGCCAGGGGTCCCTTGCTCTCCACCAGTTCCCTGTCCCATGGGCAAGAAGAGAGGGGCACTGCAGGAGAAAGACGGGCACTGGAACATTGCTGGGTATGTGGGGGGCTTTCAATGCTTGAATGAAGACCTACTGGGGAACTTAGCAAGTGTGAAGGGCTGTCTGCCTAACAGAGGAGTTAAGGGGTGGGGAGAGTGGGGAGAGGACAACCATGAGATGGGTCAGAGGCCTTACTCACAGCCTGAGCCTCCAACTGCAGCTCTGCACTCTCTGTCTATTGCCCCAGAAGGTTATTCTGGGGTGCTTGGAATCATGTGTTTCTCCTGCTCGTGCTGGGGGGGTGCTCAGCAGCACTATACCCTAGAAGGGAAAGAACAGTCCTGCTGCTCTCAGACTGGGGTTGTGCTACCTCCCAGTCAGACCTCTGTGAGAAGAGAGGACCCCCATCTGTCAAGCCATCAGGGGGAAGACCATCTGGCCTTCCTCAGCAAGAGCCACCTGCCCCCCTCAACTGGGGGCATGCTGAATCCAAGCTGCCCAGCTGTAATAAGGTTTCTTTGACATCCAGCCAGAGCATAGGTATGCACTTTACAGCAGCACTGAGAACTGAGGCTCCCAGGGACACCTGCATAGCCAGACTGCTCATTACCTCATCCTTCACTTCCAGCTAAGCAGACAGGATTCCTGGGGAGGGAGAGAGCACTGGCAAGCCAGGGCTGTAGGCAAACTCCCTGGAATCCCTGCCAATGAGAATGGGAATTGCTAATGCTGTTCAGGATGCAGGGCCAGAATTCCAGGAGTCACACACCTGCTTCCAATTGCTCCTCTGCCCCATCACCTGGCTCTCACCTGTCCTTTGGATGATCTGATGCCCAACCCAGATACTGATGGATTTTCCCTCCCTGGTTCCTTGCAGCCCAGAACAAAATAGAGTACCCATATCCTGAAACCTTGCAGGAGCCTAGTGTCTTGGAGCAACATAGCAGGGCACAGCTTTGCGGGTCCGGTCAGAGGCAGGTCCTGTTGTCTCTGGGCCATCAGGCCAATGCCATGTCCCACTCCCTATCAGCAAACAGACCCACCTTAAAGAAACCAACAACAACAACATCATGGGAGTCAATGAGCTCTGCAGTGCTATCCTTGTCCTGCAGCAGCGTGGCACTGGCGCCAGCCTTCCGCTTCATCCACAGCACGATGCCCTGGGAGTCCCGTGCACCTGCACACAGCACAGACTGCCTGGGTACCTTTCCCTACACCTGCCTTTTCAAAGAGTGCCCTGCCCTCATATCACCTCCCCATACACTTATTCCTCTCCTCCCCCCACTTTCCAACACAGATAACTCCAAGCTCAATGCTGAGCTTGCCACTTGGTCAACCCCACTACTGGTGCCCACCTTTCCACAGATTTCTGCTCTCCTCATATACCACCCCCCCCCAGCTGCCATGTCCACCTCCTGACATGGCTACCCTCTTGCCTCTGCCCACCTTCTCATATGATTACCTCTATCCTGGCACTCACAGCTATCCACATCCCTGCACCCACCTGCTCACAGAGCTACCCCCTCCCTGATGTTCATCCTCCTAAACAACTACCTCTTGTTTTCTCTACTCAGCACCCAACTCAGCACAAAGCCATGCCTCCTCCCAGCATGCAGTCGCTCCATACTGAGGTACCTCTGCCCTGGTTGGCAGTGCCTGATGGGGAGGGCTTAAGTCTTCGCACAGCTGCACCCCAGCAAATACTGCAGTGGTGGGGAGGAGGTCCCTGGCTGGCTCCATCATAGATGAGCAGGGTGTGCCTTGGCCGGTATCAAGCCATTACCTGTGTAGTCTGTGGGGTGAGTGCGGTTCCCATCTTGGAAGAGCTTCAGCACAGGGTACCCGGTAACACCAAACTCAGCACTTAGGACTGTTTCCTCTGTTGCATCCACTTTGGCCAGTCTCAAGTCCAGGGATTCATTCTTCAGGATCCCAGCAGCTTGTGTGTACTCCAGGGCCAGAGCCTGGCAGTGCCCACACCAAGGGGCATCTGTGAGAAAACAGCAGGCTATGTGGAGGGGCAGAAGTGGCACTGCAAGGAGAAAGCTCCTTTACCAGCCACCCCAAAGCTCTCTATCAGCAGAGGCAGCTTGGGCAAGGACAAGAGCAAGGATAAGGACAGGGCAACCAGATGTGAGGGCAGGAAACAGCAGTGATGAGACCACCACACTCCTCTGTCCTCCACCCCATGGTCCATCCTGAGCCTTCCTTCATTTCTGTGCCCTCCTGTGCACCCTCCCCACTGCCCAGACTTGGCACCATGGGGACCTGTCTTTCTGGGGTACTATTCACAAATGGAAAGGTGTTTGCAGCCCTGGCTCTGAAAGTCAGGCTGGACCCTTCCCACCCCACACCACTGGCATCCCAGTACTTCCAGTTTGTCTAGACAGGTGTCACTAACTGGGTGCCAGTAGTCATTGCTTGGATAATGATGCACCTTCTCCCATACAGGACTCAGGAAGTTATTCTGGGGTATTCCCAGGTATGTACTTTGCCTGCTTGTGCTGGGAGGGGAGTGCTCAGTAGCACTGCACCCTGAAAGGGAAGGACAGGACAGAATGGGAGTGTGCCCAATGGTACCCTACACCCAGCCACCTATACCACTCTAGAAGGAACCACAGGCCCTGCCACAGGCTGCAGGGTGTGACCCATTTTGTCAAATGTTAACCCTCCTTGTCTGTGAATGGCTGCTGCCTAAAATACACACCCATGATGCCTTTCCCCCTTGGGAACATGAGACAAGCATGCACTGTGCCTGCTGGGACTACACAGGCAAGCCAGACCATGGCAGAACTGCAAGTAGGCATGGGTGACTTCACTCTATACCCACTGCCTCTCCAGCCCTGCCCTGCCCCGCTCTGCCCTGCAGCCTCTGTAAATGACAAATCAGAGAACAGAAAGATCCTGTGCCCACCTTGCCCACCTGTCCTGCACCCAAAAGAAGGGCCCTTGTAGGGACAGAACAAGCCACTGAAGTGGAGCCCCAGCAAGAAATGGCAGGAGCTACTCCCAGTGCCTAGGACAGAGGGCATGAGGATTTGGTCCTGGGTCCTTAAGGAGACTGCAAAGAGGTCTTCTTCCAGGACCAGGGGGGATCACACTGATCTGCTCTCAAGCCCAGGGCAAGGGGATCTCAGAGGCACCCAGGCAGTTAGGGTTTCTGGGCTCCAGGCACAGCAGTTTCTACACATTAATTTTTAACAAGCTAGCATCTCCTCTCAGAACAAGACTTCTTTCCCACTGGAAAAACAGCACCTGAGCCACTTTCTGAAGGGCACCAATGCCCAGGGAAGCTTCAATTTGTTCTTCTTGGAACTCAGAGAACAGATGCCTGGTGCATCAACTGCACCTACCAGGGCAAAGTGCCTGGACTGAAATGGACATTACCACCATACCTCACTCACCTACAGTTGCCTGTGGGCATGCAAAGACCTGAATCCCAGAACTGTACACCTGTCTTCAGACCATAAGACCTGTAAGTACCTAGGTATGCATGGCTGGACACTGCTCAGGGATACAAGATATCCAGGGCTAGTCAGTGCCAAGGAGAACCATATGGCTGGTTAGTGCCCAGCTTTGCACCCAATAGTGCTGATGGCTTTGGGATACAGACTTCTACAATATGTATTCATTCTCCATTAACCAAGACCCTACCCCCTCCCAGTCCTGTGCTGGCCCAGTGTGTGTGCGGGAGTGGGGTGGGGAGGGTGTCACTTACAGAACTTCACCAGGAGCAGCCTGTGCTCATGCAGGGCTCGATCAAAGTTGTGTTGATGGAGTACTAAGACACCATCTTCTTCCAAAAGCTCAGTTGAGATGACCTCCTCTTCTTCTTTCACCTCCTCCATCTGCTGCACCTCTACCTCCTTGCCCTGGTCTTCCCCCCAGCTAGGTGCCACCCAAGCCAGTGACAGGAACAGGACCAAAACCAGATGGGACTTAAAGTAGCCCATAGTGAAAGGGACCAGAAAACAGGTAAGCACCTATGTCAGCTGCCTGGAAAGAGAATGCCAGTGGAAGAGAGGGGACAGATAAGACCAGAGTGGAGTGGGTGGTGCCTGGCCCATACAGTGCGTGTCTCTTTATTACTGGCTGATCAGAGCCCCAGATATGGCAGCTGTACGGGAACGGCCAGGTGGCTGCATGACCTGTTTTTTAGTCCCCAGGTCTCAGAACCTGGCTAGGGAACTCTGAAAGGCAGTCCTGGGCAGACTGAGGCTTTCCAAGCCAGCTGTTGCTGGAAATACCCCCCACTGGTGAACATAAAACAGGCACCTTCTAGCCTACAGCAGCACAACCCTTGCGTTTGGAAGAGGGACTCCTATGACAGGTCTGGGAGAAAGGTTCAATGGCAGCAGTGCCCCAGCCCTGGGCAGTGGGAATGCCTATGTCCCAGAGCCCTGCTCAAGTAGCATTTCCCCACAGGATTCTGGCAGGTGCCCAAGCACAGAGCTATTCCCTAAGGTAAATGGCTAAGGCCTAATGCAAGCTGTTCAGGGTTTGTCCTACCTCAGTAGTGTCTGGGGGCAACAGGGCCTGGCAGGGCTGGAACTCACGGAGTATTAGTAAACATGGTGCCATGGGGCACATGCAGCTCTAAGGTCTGGATTGCTGGGGGTGGTAGTGGACCAGGGACTTTATTTGTAGCTGGAGATGAGTGAAAGCTGGCCCGGGCTGCAGTGGGGCTGGAGCCACGGTCCCTTTGCTTCTGCTGTCACACCACTGCAATTTGGGTTACAGTGGGCACATCTACTCGAGACAGTAACTGTGCAGTAACCGAATAATACTGCACAGTAGTGTGTCACAGCACCAACAGTGTTAATATGCTACTGCATAGTAGCGTCACTTAAAAGGCATTTGCCGGTGCTACTGCGCAGTATCTCTGCTTACTGTACATTTTAGTACTTGATTATACAAGTACTTATATATTAGGGCTGTGCAAAATTTCACCAGGTGTTTCGTTTTGAAGCTGTTTCGATGTGTTTTGAGCTTGAAACAGCAAAATCAAAATGAAACAAAAGGCTTTGAAAGAGCTTTGAAAAAAACAAGAGTGCTCGAAACGTTTAGAAAGTTTTGAAACGTTTCAAGTTTCAAAGCTGGGCTTACTTGGCTTCAGCACTGGTCCCAGGCAGCGGCGGCAGCAGCAGCAGCAGCCTCCTCTCATCCGTGCTCCTCTCCTCAGATGAGAGGATCTGCAACGTCATCCTATGAGGGTTTGCAGGGCTGAGATGGAGAGAATTTAATGGTAGGACCTTTGCGTGCAGCCCATGGGAAGATGTCCTGAAAGATGTCCAAATATTCCTACCAGCACCAAGAAAAAAATTAATTTTTCATAGTGAGGAAACATCCCAATTCCTTATATATGCTTTATTTCAAGGTTGAGCAGACCTAGGATGCTTTGGGAGAGGGCAGCTGTGGATCCCCCTCCACCCACATAGCGGAGAACCCTGGGCTAAGAGTCGCAGTAGGGCACGTCTTCAGCTTGGCTGTGGTGAGCAGAGAAAGTAGGTGCCTCAGCCAGGCCAGAGGTAGCAGGCAGGCTGGTTCCTGGGCCCAGCACACCAGGAATCATAGTGCCTATGTGGCCCTCACAGCTCCATGGCCTGGATTGAACAGTGTTACGTACAAAACTGGCATCAGCTTGAGACAGACAGAAGACAGCTCAGGCGGGAACACGTAGGCGAGGGACAGAAATTACATATTAACCAGTACAAATGACTGGAAACCAGTTCAAATCTGAAACATAACAGAAGTCCAGTGCACATAAACCACTTTCAAAATGGCCAAACCCAGTTTAAGATAAACCTGAATGGCTGTAGTTTCAGATTTAACTGATTTAGGTTAAATTGGTTTATTGAACTTTTGTCCCAGATCCCTCCAGATTCAAATTAACTCACAGTCCTCCAGCATCTCAGGATGCTTTGCACCTCCCCCACAAACCCCCTTGCAAGGTGAATGGGTTAGCCTCTGCTCAAGCTGTCTGCTCCAGCCAAGCAGGGAGGTGTGTTCTAGCACGCCCCAGCTTCTGGCCGTGGCCACTGCAGACATGTGGCTGCATTTCCAGAATCAAAAGTAAATGTCTGTTCACTTGCTTATTGGTTCAATCTACACAGCTTAGACTAACTTGCAAAGATTAACTTGTGACAACTGAATCAGTTCAGCCTTGGGCTTTTTGACTGTATTTAGCCATGGTATTTTGTTTAAATTACATGGGGCTTTTGGGGAAGGACACAGCTCAGTTCCCACTCCAGACAGTGCAAACCCCTGGGAAAGCTGGGCATAGCAAAGCTGGGAGCAAGGTATGGAGTGCTCCTGAGTGCTCAGAAACCAGGAGGCCCAAACAAAGATCCCAATTATCCTCAAAAGAAGCCATTTTAAAGTCACTCTTCAGATTCTGGGACCTACCCTGCACTTTCTGAACACTCAGGTTGGCACTACTAGAAATGGCCCCACCAGCTGCTACCTTCCTCCTGTCCTGGGGGAAACACAAGTTATGCCCTAGCCTTGGGAAGGAATGACATCAGCCTCCCCAGGCTCTCCTCATGGAGGTGCCTGCCCTGGCCAGGTACCAATGGAAATGTTTGCTGCTCCCCAGCAGACCCCACCCAGCCTACTTAATGGAGAAATGGGACTAGAGCCCTTCTTTAGGAGAGGAATATACAGTTTGTGGCCAGGCTTCCCTTCCAGCTTCCACTGAGGACTCCCATTTATTCAGAGGAAGTGCAGGCCCAAAACTCCATTGCAAGCTCAGACCTGTATATCCAGGCTGCACCCCCATCCTAAAAGCAAGAATTGCTGCCTCTCTCCATCCTCTGCAGATTGCAGAAGACCCTCTGGCTCCTGGTAGGGCTGTGCAAAATTTCGCCACCAGTTTTGTTTTGATGCTGTTTTGACCTGTTTCAAGGCCAAAACAGCAAAATCGAAACAAAACAGATATGGTCGAAACAGCCTCAAAATGAAACAAGGCAAGTCGAAACGTTTTGCTGTTTCGCCGATAGGCTATAATGGGGAACGTCAAAAAAGCCTGTAACTTTGTCATTTCTGGCCAAATTTGGATAAAACTTGCAGAAACGGTAGCCCCTTCTGAGGGCATAAAGTGTGCCATGTTTCAAAAAGATAGGTGCAGGGGGTTCAGAGAAACTGCACCCCAAAATTTTGAGAGCCAAACTTGTATTATGTGTATGTGTTAAGCCACAGCAGGGTCAAAACTGCAGGGATGGTAGCTCCTGCTGAGGCCACAGAGCCTGCCAGCTGTCAAAGAGATCCATGCAGGGGGGTTCTGGGGCCCTGCACCTCTAGCTGCAGACAGACAAAACTTGTGACATGGGTGCTTGT